TAAGAACGGCATTTAGACACTTGTGCTAGGAATCATTCTGAACTTTGTATACCACCTATGTCAGACCAATCCTGGAGTATGCAGCCCCAGCATGGAGTCCATATCTAGTCAAGCATAAGACTAAACTGGAAAAGGTTCAAAGGTTTGCCACCAGACTAGTACCCGAGCTGAGAGGTATGAGCTACGAGGAGAGACTACGGGAATTAAACCTCACTTCGCTGGAAGACAGAAGAGTTAGGGGGGACATGATCACCACATTCAAGATTCTGAAGGGAATTGATAGGGTAGATAAAGACAGGCTATTTAACACAAGGGGAACACGCACAAGGGGACACAGGTGGAAACTGAGTGCCCAAATGAGCCACAAAGATATTAGAAAGAACTTTTTTAGTGTCAGAGTGGTTGACAAATGGAATGCATTAGGAAGTGATGTGGTGGAGGCTGACTCCATACACAGTTTCAAGTGTAGATATGATAGAACCCAATAGGCTCAGGAACCTGTACATCAGTTGATTGACATTTGAGAGGCGGGACGAAAGAGCCAGAGCTCAACCCCCGCAAGCACAAGTAGGTGAGTACACACACACACACACACAAACGCGACCACGCAGACTTCTTTAAGCACAGAAACACACACATACAGACACAAACATATTGGTATGGAGAATACAAACACAGCCACCCATGGCAGCAGACACAGGCACCCATGACAGCAGACACAGGCACCCATGGCAGCAGACACAGGCACCCATGGCAGCAGACACAGGCACCCATGGCAGCAGACACAGGCACCCATGGCAGCAGACACAGGCACCCATGGCAGCAGACACAGGCACCCATGGCAGCAAACACAGCCACCCATGGCAGCAGACACAGGCACCCATGGCAGCAGACACAGGCACCCATGGCAGCAGACACAGGCACCCATGGCAGCAGACACAGGCACCCATGGCAGCAGACACAGGCACCCATGGCAGCAGACACAGGCACCCATGGCAGCAGACACAGGCACCCATGGCAGCAGACACAACCGATATAGCAGATACATATACAGCCAAGACAGCAGACGCAGACAGCCAAGACAATAAGCATAGACAGCCATGACAGCAGACAGGCGGCCAGAACAGCACACAGACAGACAAGACAGCAGACGCAGACAGCAGACACAGACAGCAGACAGCAGACGCAGACAGCAGACACAGACAGCAGACACAGACAGCAGACTGCTAAGACAGCAGACACAGACAGCAGACGCAGACACAGACAGCCAAGACAGCAGACGCAGACAGCCAAGACCGCAGACACAGACAGCCAAGACAGCAGACGCAGACAGCCAAGACAGCAGACACAGACAGCCAAGACAGCAGACACAGACAGCCAAGACCGCAGACACAGACAGCCAAGACAGCAGACGCAGACAGCCAAGACCGCAGACACAGACATCCAAGACAGCAGACGCAGACAGCCAAGACAGCAGACGCAGACAGCCAAGACAGCAGACGCAGACAGCCAAGACAGCAGACGCAGACAGCCAAGACAGCAGACGCAGACAGCCAAGACAGCAGACGCAGACAGCCAAGACAGCAGACGCAGACAGCCAAGACAGCAGACGCAGACAGCCAAGACCGCAGACACAGACAGCCAAGACAGCAGACGCAGACAGCCAAGACAGCAGACGCAGACAGCCAAGACCGCAGACACAGACAGCCAAGACAGCAGACACAGACAGCCAAGACCGCAGACACAGACAGCCAAGACAGCAGACGCAGACAGCCAAGACAGCAGACGCAGACAGCCAAGACACAGACAGCCAAGACCGCAGACACAGACAGCCAAGACCGCAGACACAGACAGCCAAGACAGTAGACACAGACAGCTAAGACAGCAGACACAGACAGCCAAGACCGCAGACGCAGACAGCCAAGACAGCAGACGCAGACAGCCAAGACAGCAGACGCAGACAGCCAAGACAGCAGACGCAGACACCGCGGCACAATTTCACCCTATTAAGAAATTACCATAAAGGTGACCCCTGAATCTGAAATTATTCCAGAAAGTATATTCAGCTTAAAGCTTTAAAAGCATCATTTTGAGGCGGCCATAATCCCTCTCAAGCGGATAATATTATCTTATTCCCCAAGACACACAACACTAAGAAAATGATTTCTCATTCTCTCTCATTCTCTCTCTCACTGCGTCTCTGAGTCTCAGACGCAGTGAGCGAGTCTCGCTCTCAGCGTCCCAAGATGGCGTATGGGGGGTGTGGGAGTGGCATGGACCAGTTTATGGGCACGCCCCAGTGCCACTCTTTAAGAAATATCGGCACCTGAAGTGACAAGGGAGCCGGTCGGCCGAGCGGACAGCACGCTGGACTTGATTCTGTGGTCCTGGGTTCGATCCCAGGCGCCGGCGAGAAACAATGGGCAGAGTTTCTTTCACCCTATGCCCCTGTTACCTAGCAGTAAAATAGGTACCTGGGTGTTAGTCAGCTGTCACGGGCTGCTTCCTGGGGGTGGAGGCCTGGTCGAGGACCGGGCCGCGGGGACACTAAAAAGCCCCGAAATCATCTCAAGATAACCTCAAGATAACCTGACACCACGCGATTTTCATGGTCTGAAATCGTGGGCGTGTTTTCCATAGATTTTCATAGTCTGAAATCGTGGGTGTGTTTTCCATAGATTTTCATAGTCTGAAATCATGGGTGTGTTTTCCATAGATTTAGTCATTTTTAAATGCTGAATGGAGGGAAGGAGGGAAAGGGAGAAAGGTGGAGAGGGGAAGTGGGGAGAGAGACCCGAACCCAGTTCGATACCCCAATTAACAATATATAAATATAATGCAAATCTGTTCTACAAGAGATATTTTTTGACAGACCAAAATTGTAGGCCAGAAGCCTATGGTTAGCCTCATGCAAACTTGCAAGGAGGAATGTTCTGTGGTGTGGGATGGTCATAGGCCGGGAAAAGCCTACATTAAACACTTTAAGAAATACTAGCATTAATAAGCATCTTGGGAGTGTCATGGAGTCAGTTATGAAATATTTAGTGTAATTCCCCTAGATCTGAATCTGATCTATGGGAATTTACGGAGACTCTAGGGATCTAGAGTTTAAGATCTGAAACCTATATCTATGGGCAGCACAAAACGTCCACCAGCCTGTGCGATACAGTGGTTGCCAGGATCAGGTTGGGTTACCGTTACCTGTGGCAGGTGGCTACCGTTACCTGTGGCAGGTGGCTACCGTTACCTGTGGCAGGTGGCTACCGTTACCTGTGGCAGGTGGCTACCGTTACCTGTGGCAGGTGGCTACCGTTACCTGTGGCAGGTGGCTACCGTCACCTGTGGCAGGTGGCTACCGTTACCTGTGGCTGGTGGCTACCGTTACCTGTGGCAGGTGGCTACCGTTACCTGTGGCAGGTGGCTACCGTTACCTGTGGCAGGTGGCTACCGTTACCTGTGGCAGGTGGCTACAGGTGACGGATCTCCCAATCCTGAGCACTCCAGGTGCAAACTCTGTGAGCAGGAACTGCGGCATGATCTCCCACACTACATCACTGAATGCCAAGTTATTAGACCTTTCAGACCAGTTGGCATGAGGTACCTGGAGCTTTGCAATTACTTTATTCACTCTCGTGTTCTTGAAGATATCCTCACAGTGTACCCAAACTTTACCAGTGCAGGCTACTGAACATATGTCCTTATATGACTAACCATCCTGTGAGATGGGGACTTAGTATCACTGCTATCTTATTCACTCTTGTGTTGATGATATCCTCATAATACACCCAGAGTCTGCCAGTGCAGACCGCTTATCACATGCCTCTGTATGACTAACCATCCTGTGTGATGGGGATTTTTTAGCATCACGTAGCTAGCTTTTTGACACACTGTACTGCCCTTCATATAGTCTAGCGTAGCTGCACACATGCAGATGTATCTAATGTATTAATAAACCAAAAAAGATACAGTAGTGTTGGTGCACGGGCTCTAGTGTGTTGCACATGTTGATATTGAGACAACATGGGCTGTACTGCCTCCACGCACAACAGTTGTTCAGTAGTTTGAGCCCCGCGGCGGTAGTTAGCGAGCTAATTGTCGCCAAACAACTTTCAGAGAGTCGTTAGCGCCGCTCACCGCTCGCTAAATTACCGGAAAGGGAACTAACGCGAGTAATGATTGCCTGAGACGAGACGACCCAACCTCGACTGATGATTGGCTAAGACAAGCCGCTACTGTGAATTATGATTGGCTGAGACAAACTTGGAAACTGTCCTAAACATTGACTCGACTTTTCCGCCACTTTGACCCGACTTTTCCACCACTTTGACCCGACTTTTCCACCACTTTGACCCGACTTTTCCACCACTTTGACCCGACTTTTCCACCACTTTGACCCGACGTTTCCACCACTTTGACCCGACTTTTCCACCACTTTGACCCGACTTTTCCACCACTTTGACCCGACTTTTCCACCACTTTGACCCGACTTTTCCACCACTTTGACCCGACTTTTCTACAAAATTGTAGTTGTAAACAAATGTGTTGTTCTCAATCTGGGGTACAAGTCTCTGGCATCCTAAAATATTCACATGGTAAAATCCGATTTAAAATTTGCAGTTTTGTGTGTGTGTCGGGAGTTGAGGGCGCACGCACACACACACACACACACACACACACACACACACACACACACACACACACACACACACACACACACACACACACACACAATATGTTTACAGGAGTGGAATCATACATGTCAATGTTTGCAGATGACGCAAAATTAATGAGAAGAGTTGTGACAGACGAGGATTGTAGGATCCTCCAAGAGGACTTAAACAAGCTGCAGAGATGGTCAGGGAAATGGCTACTGGAGTTTAACACCAGTAAATGTAAAGTTATGGAAATGGGATCAGGTGACAGGAGACCAAAGGGACAGTACACAATGAAGGGGAACAGCCTACCTGTAACGATTCGAGAAAGAGACCTGGGAGTGGACGTGACACCTAATCTAACTCCTGAGGCACATATAAATAGGATAACGACAGCAGCGTACTCTACACTGGCGTAAATTAGAACTGCATTCAGAAACCTAAATGAGGAAGCTTTTAGGGCACTTTATACTGCCTACGTGAGACCCGTCTTAGAGTATGCCGCGCCATCATGGAGCCCCCACCTGAAGAAACACATAAAGAAACTGGAGAAGGTTCAGAGGTTTGCGACGAGGCTTGTCCCAGAGTTACGAGGGATGGGATATGAAGAACGGCTGAAGGAACTGAACCTAACGACACTAGAGAAAAGAAGGGAGAGAGGAGATATGATAGGGACATATAAAATACTCAGGGGAATTGATAAAGTGGAAATAGATGAAATGTTCACACGTAATAATAACAGAACGAGGGGACATGGGTGGAAACTGGAAACTCAGATGAGTCACAGAGATGTTAGGAAGTTTTCTTTTAGCGTGAGAGTAGTAGAAAAATGGAATGCACTTGGGGAACAGGTTGTGGAAGCAAATACTATTCATACTTTTAAAACTAGGTATGATAGGGAAATGGGACAGGAGTCATTGCTGTAAACAACCGATAGCTAGAAAGGCGGGATCCAAGAGTCAATGCTCGATCCTGCAAGCACATATAGGTGAGTACATATAGGTAAGTACACACACCATCCGGGAAGACGTCTCAAGGGATTAAACTTGCAGTAGCTTTAACCTAACACGCCAGAGTTCGATTCCCACTCACACCACCTGACCTGTATATGCACTGAGACTCGATAGTGCCAGGATACGTAAGTATTGTGGTGCTTTTGAGGTCACTAAACCACTGGTATGTTGACGTTTTGATCGACATTGTATGAATATGTATTACGTATAAAATTGGTGACAGGAATAGACTGAAAAAACATGCTTAAAACATACTAAAAAAATACTAAAAACATTCTGAAAAAAATCTTTTGGAACACACACAAGAAAAATGTATTGTCTAAAATACTTAAAAAAAACTGCAAAATACACTGATAAAATTTCCGGAAAATACTATGGAAAATTACTGGAACATTCACTGTGAAAAATTACTGAAAGACTGAAAAATTACTGAAACACTGTGAAAAACTATTGAAACACTGAAAAATTACTGAAACACTGTGAAAAACTATTGAAACACTGAAAAATTACTGAAACACTGTGAAAAACTATTGAAACACTGAAAAAATTACTGAAACACTGTGAAAAACTATTGAAACACTGAAAAATTACTGAAACACTGTGAAAAACTATTGAAACACTGAAAAATTACTGAAACACTGTGAAAAACTATTGAAACACTGAAAAATTACTGAAACACTGTGAAAAACTATTGAAACACTGAAAAATTACTGAAACACTGTGAAAAACTATTGAAACACTGAAAAATTACTGAAACACTGTGAAAAACTATTGAAACACTGAAAAATTACTGAAACACTGTGAAAACTATTGAAACACTGAAAAATTACTGAAACACTGTGAAAAACTATTGAAACACTGAAAAATTACTGAAACACTGTGAAAAACTATTGAAACACTGAAAAAATTACTGAAACACTGTGAAAAACTATTGAAACACTGAAAAATTACTGAAACACTGTGAAAAACTATTGAAACACTGAAAAATTACTGAAACACTGTGAAAAACTATTGAAACACTGAAAAATTACTGAAACACAGTGAAAAACTACTGAAACACTGAAAAAAGGAAAAACTGGAAAAATTTTGCTGAATCAACTGGAAAATGCTGGAAAACCCACTGGGAAAATATTCACCTATCTACTAGGGACAAAAAATTCTCTCTGAAGAGACAAAATACTTCCATAACAAAAATCGAAACACCGAAAAAAAAATTGAAAATTCCCCCCCCCCCCCCAAAAAAAAATTTTTTTTTTAAAGAAGCGTGGCACGAAAATCACCAAGAATAGGAAATAAAAATAGGCAATTACTTGGTAATTGAAGATAATTGTATCATAGAGTTTATCGGAAAATTGACG